GCAAGAGCGTTCCTCACAGAAGTGTAAAMCATCTTGTCTTGGCTCTCCGTCTCTTTGCTGCTCCGCCCTTCCATTTCATTAAGTCAAAAGACAGACAGGGTAGACTGAAGTCTTCTGTGTCACGACCAGTGCCCTCCKCTGCCTCCTTTTATGTTTTCAACCTCTCCCTAAACATTCGATCGCTTTTCCTTTATATATATTCAAGCTTTACTTTTTTGTTTTTTATTCWCACACTCATCCTTGGAAAAAAAAATCATCCTTTTATTCCCTTGCCCCTTTTGTGTGGCCAGACAGCCGTGTAATTGTGGGCTGTGTGAGGAACGGGATGAGGCGAGGGCTTGTGTTGGTCGGCGTTGCGCGAGCATACCTACCTACAGTCATTCTCCCGGCCACTTCTTTGTTCTTGCACCATTGTGATATCCCCRCTAAAGAGAAGCGGTACACATGTTGCTCGGCTGCAAGACGGTCTGCAGTCTTTGTGATAAATATGGAACTCTGTTTCTCTCAAGTATTGTTGCCATTCTCCCTCGTCCTGCCGGTCTGCTTGGGTACCTCTGGCTGTGCCGCATAAAAGGAGATTAGCTTCACCTCTGAGGGAAACATGCATGCACTCACACAAGTGCAAACAACACACTTGAGTGCACACACAAACATTAGGTTTTCCTCTTTTGCTGTATTCCTCTTTTAAGGTCCTGCATTCGTTTTTGGTTTAATGCAAGTGGACACAAGGTGATMGGACGCCAGCAGTAGGCTCCACATATTTAATGCTAATTAATATTAACACTAATAGTACACACATTCCCAGTCATTTACAATTTGACACAATGTAGTTGCGTGATTAAAGAAAAGAAATACCTTTTTTTTATTCTAAATTTTAATAAAAAAATAGCAACAGAGAAAAAATATAGAAAAGATTACGTTACAGCCAACATTACAGTTCTTAAATTAGCGTGTCTGTTTTCTCATTTACAGTTTGACCATGGCAACATTCTCGTAGGAGAAATCAGGTTTGATCAGACAGTGAGCCGGGATTAGGGACTGATTACTTGGCTTTGTTAGGTTTAACTTCATGTYATTCAGCAAAAAAAAAAAAAAAAAAAAGATGTGCTTACATTAAAAAACCTAAGAGATCTTTCAGCTTAGTGCTTTAAACTCAGAAGCTCCTGTCTTTGCTGTAAAACTCTAGTCAAGGCTACACGCTGCCTATGATACCAAAGATGCATTGTGAATTTGAAAGACTGTCGTTTTTTTAAAACTAAAAAGACGTAACAGAGATTTTATGCCTTTAAAAACAAGAAGTACTGACACCTCATCTGACAGTTAGTAAAACCTTGAGTATTTTTCTTAGTTAATACACTATATGTGTAGCTTTAAGTGGCAGTGGGCAGAGATTTGGGGAATTAAAACCATGTTTAACTGTAGACTTTTAAAACTGATGATAATAAATCACCTGAATCCTCAAACAGAGTCATATTTACSTGAAACTGCAGTAATTTGCTTGTCATACCTTCGGTTCTCATTTGCAAGTAAAAACCCTGGAACAGCTTTGAGCTGAGGTTTCTGTAGTCTGCAAATAGGAGGTGATGTGGTTACTGTGGTTACATGGTTGAATTTTTTTAAAGAGTGATCAAGCATCATTACTGCATTTTATTTTAAAATGCAAGAATTAAGATTCTTTTAGAGGCTGTTTTAACAAACAAAAAGAAAAACAATCTAAATTTTTTTTAAGATATCTCAAAAAATATTTTAAATAATGAGGCATTGAGCTTGTTATCCTTCCTAGCACAAAAAAACCCTTGCTACATCTGTAAAAGATCACTCTGTAATAATATAATAAAAAGTATTCAGTAGGGACAATTACCTGTCTTTCCAGAAAGCAAAACATAGTTCAATGACACCAGTTGAGTAGTAATGTTTGAACAGAAAACTTGTGTAACTTTTTCATTGAACAATTAGAAACTTTCTAATATCTCTAGTAAGCCAAGAGCCAAAGAAACATTTGATTTGGTTTGTGTGAAAGAGACAGTTTGATTGTTTTACCTCCAGCTGTTGATGCCAGCAGTGCAGGGATGGTAAACCCCTCGCTGACCCCTGATGAGGCTCTTTTTTTGGTCCTCCCTTCCTTCCTGGCAGCTGGTAACACTAATTGCTTACACATGGAATACTTAGTTGTCATGAATGCAGTTTTATTGTCATTAAAGTGACAATAATGACCRTGAGCTGTGGCCTAGCTAGCTGTGTAACTAAATCCATATGTTCTTTAGATTCTTTCAACATAAACAAGTGGTATTCTTAAAAGGAGCATCTTTTCATGTGGTAAAGTCCCCACACTTGTCATAATCATTTATTCATTTTGCTGTTTTACTCTTTACTTTTCTGTCAGTTCTACATCATTTTTTTTATAAGTACCCCTTTAAAGTTTCTTTTTATTTTTTAATGGTTTTGCGTTTTTGCATTTGTCCACTTATCATGCCTTCACTAATGGAATGAGCATTTCAACATTTTGCTTTCCATCTTCCTAATTTCCCAGTTTTTAAGATGTGTTCATTGTCTCAGAGAAATTTGCCTTTTATTTTTTACTCTCTACACAAATTTCCGCATCCTGCTCCATTTTTTTTCACTTCATCAGTCCACGTCAGATCCCACTGTTTCCTAACTGTTTTTCCCATTTCCCTCCATGTTTTCATTCAYTTTTTGGTCTCATTATCTTTTAAATGGTCCAGTGATGGACTTGCGGCCTGTCCAGAGTGTACCCTGCCCTTCGCACAGTGACCCTGAAAGGAAGAAGCACAAAATGGTACTGGATGGATCTTTTGCATGAATCTCCTCCATGTGCCCGCCCCCCAGCATCACCTGCAGCTTCACCATGCATCCCAATGTACTTTAACTTTTGTAGGGCTATAAGACCAAAAGTATGATTCGTTTGATATGTAAATTTTATTCACCTAAGATTTGCACAGTATTAAGAGACCAGATCACTAATTCATGTCGGTGTAAACTTGTGGGACTTGTACTGGATTTTCATGCATTTTGATGGACTTTGAGTTCCCACACCATTTTTTTAATTTCCCCATCCTGCCTCATCTTCCTATCTGTCTCGCATCCTTTCATTTCCCTTCACTCTGGCCTTGTTAAGGGTCTCTCATTCTCTCTTCTTGTTCTTCCTTCCTGGCTCCCCCATGATGCATCCTTTCTCCTCCTACATAGAGATCTCTGCTTACCRTTTCCTGCTGTAGTGCCTTTCGGTCTCTCCCTGCTCCCTCCTTCATTCATTGATGTCTGATCTAATTGCTTTTGCTCTCACCCATGGGACCTGGGCACAACGTAACAAGGTCCCAGAGGATGCACTCCGCCTTCGTCGCAGCATCCTGAATTGCTACTTTTCTTTTTATCTGTTTCCTCAACCGGCTCCTCCCAGGGCTTTCATTCATTAGCAGTTCTAATGCTTTAGCCCCAAGACACACAGCATGATATTGTGATCCTTCAGGCTTAACTGAATCTAATCTAAAGCTGGCTGCGGCTGAAGGTTGCTCCAGGAATGACCGATTGCAACAGGTCGTCTCTTTATTTGGAGAGGAGGTTTGTTATTCACATGAGACATCAGGGCCACAGATGGAGAGTAAGGGGGTTAAATAAAAAAAAGCCACATTTGCAGGAAAGGGAAAGAGTGAGACAGAAAAATAAATAGGTAGAGGTGGGAGAGGAGGGTGACAAAGTGGAAAAGGGATAACCTGATAATGTGAGCAGGCTTATACGGCCGCTGGAAAAAAAAATGATAGAAAAAAGGAAAATAAAAGATGCAGTCCAGTGAACTAAAGCAGACAGGCCTGTACACTTTTTCTTCCAACTCCRGGTACACTCAGTCACATGAACTTTAGAAACGCAACACACAGTCTAACTTTTCTGTCACTTGCAGCTTTCCTTCCTTGAACCTGCAGTGTGATATATCACACCTCAAGTGGCATCTGTGGATAGTGTCACCTTAAGTAAATCCTGGAGCAAAAACACTCAAATCGACATTTTTTTTTAAAATTCAGTTCCTTTTTTGAATTCCCTGTTGATCTGAATCCTATTTTCACTCATGTTTGMCAAATAGTGAGGATGCGGGATAAACAGCATGAAAGAAGCAAAGCTCATATTCTCGCAACAAGTGCTCACGCATGCATGAGCTGCACTGGGATAAGCCATACGGTTGTGAGCAGCAAATATAAGAACATAACCTCAGTTGTCAGTCATAGTGTGAGTTTCATGAAAGAACACACCACAGCAGACACTACAATATTGTCAATGTGACATGAAGCTCATCGACGACTGCAAGCCGAACACTACAATCACAAGAATGTGTGTGTATGTGCTCTTGTCTTTTTGTCTGATTAATTTTCATGATACAACACCAGCAATAAGATCAAAATATTTCTCCTGAAGGTTAATGGGTCAAACGCAAAGATCAAAATCTAGTTGTTGCATGGCACTCCTCTCATTAGAGGCATTTAAAGGGAATCATTTGATACAGATACTCTGATCTTGCCTTTGGGCCTCCCCGGCGTATACTTTCTCTCACACATGCACTCGCACTCTGCCGGTCCTTTGGGCTCAGACAGTGGGCTGAATCCAGATAGACCGCTTTGAAGTGAGCAAGTGTGTGTCACTGTGTGTGCAAATACACACATACAATCCCACCGCGTTGATGCCCCCTTCTTTAATCAGATCAGGTTTTTAATTATTAATGTACGTTAAAAGAAGGAGAAGCAGAAAGTGTGAACATTTGTGACCCTGCAGCAGTACTGTTTAACCTATACAGCGGAGAAATCCTGCGTGTGTGGGCAGAGGAAAGTGGGTTTCATAAGTGAGAGAACTTCTCTGTGTGCGGGTGCATTGATGTTTGAAGTGTGTGCAAACAAAACACAAACCCATCTTCAGGCAAAAGCGCAACACAATTCCTCCGCACAGATTCCATTTCAAACATTTATTTTGTTTTTTTTTTTCTGTCTGTTTGTAGGTGTGTGGAAATCATCGCCAAGGAGGGGAGAAGTCTGAAGGAGCTCTATCTAGTGTCTTGTAAAATCACAGACCACGGTAGGATACTTTCTGTTGCCGTCAACCAGCAACATTATTACCATAACCATCATTGCCCACATCCTCAACAAAGGAGTCATTTGATTTTATGGCTCGGCTCTTATGAGACCCGCAAACAGTAAAAACATGATGAAAAGTTCCGCGCAGATGGAGCTAATGTTTCTCATTGCTGTTCATGTAGATGAGCGTACTCCGGTTTGACGTTTACCTTCAAGTCAGTAGTTTTGAGATGAAATGAGCAGAATTCGATGGTTACTCTAAGGCTGGCGTGTGACAAGTCTTCAGCACAAAATCACAACTGCTCCCGGCAGGATTCCTATGCGTTTGCTGCTGTTTGTGGATTAGAGGCGTTTGTATTGTCTGACAGGATGTATACATGCTTTCCTTTCCTTCGCAACACTCACGCTGGCAGCTTGTGTATCCCTCTAGCAGCATCTCTCCTCTCCGTTCTGTTTACACTATCTTTGCTCCTCTGCTTGAATCCATTCAGCCATATGTTCGGGTCTTTCATCAGCTACAGTACAAGTACACAGTTGGAGTTTTTCAGTGCTGGAAAAATTAGGAGCACAGTTCTGACTATCACCTCGTGCATGAAATATGTGATCTTTTGTGTGGTGGGGTTTATCTATTCAGGTGTGGAAAAGGGGACTATTTTGAAGTCCTTCAAACTCAGTGCTGTGATCCTATCCTTTACTTTTCAGTGTCTGCTCTTGAGAAAGAATAGAAACAAATCAGGAATCCTTCTGGTATAAAAAGAAAAAGTCTTTCTTTTTATAATAATCTGTATTGTATTAGAGAGAAAATAAAAGTTTAATTTGCATTAGATTGCTTGAAAATGTTTTGTTTTAGTTTAGGTCCACGTGCTTTTTTACTTCATACAAATTAAAGAAACTGAATTTAGCTATATCGAATAAGAAAAAAAATGAGTTATGCTTGATAATTAAGCTTTATATTAACTCTTTGCTTGTTGAAAATAGAAATTGTACTCGGTTTATGAGCAGCTTGTAGAAATTCATGCTCTACGTGTGTTCATTGTACTGTATATATTCTGTAGATTGAATTTAAAGTGGAACACTAATTGTGTTACGTCTCCCTGAGGAGCTTGTGATTATATCAGGAGTGTTGCAGAGTAAAGACTCAAAGTTTCTTTCCTCTGTAAGCTGCAGTTTGTTGCTAACTTCACCGAGGTGCAGAAGCGGTAATCACCTTGACCTCTCTGAACATGAGCTTTAGGTATTCCTGCAAGTGTGTAAAACACCATGTGGGTGTGATTCTGCTGGTATTTGATTAATGACTCCTGAATCAGAAAAGTACATTAAATCGGAAATGTACACAGCCAACGCCTTACAAATTCTTCCCTTTACGGTTGTCTCTAATCATTTTGACCAAGATGAATTGGTGATATCTGATCCTCTCCGTTGCTAATGACCTCTTTGTCCCTCTTCGGCTGCTGATCTGGTCTGTGTCCGTTTATGTTTGTCCTTTAAGGATGAAGATGCCTTCTGCAAGGAGCTCTGTGCTGTAACACGGTGATTGGTGGATTTCCTGTTTCAGCCTCTGATAAATTGAATAACAGAAATGAGATTTTACATCTGCCAAGCGGGCCCGTGTTTTTTCCGCCCATCTCCTGCGCTAATTATTTTTATTAATGGCCTCTCTAAGTGCATTTGAGATGTCCACAAGCCTCTTATGTTTGAGTGGTCTGCTTGTTTTTTACTGCTGCTTTTGCTTCCTGCCAGATTTTTAGGAGCTCCGAGATGCAAAGAAAGGTATTTGGCAATGTGTGTGTTTTTGTCATATCATTAATGGTTTGTGAAACCATAGAAAAATGGAAGAAAGAATAAATGAAATGGTAAAAATGAAAAATTTTGAAATCTAGCTAAATTCTCGTTGGGATTTAATTTTTTAGTATCTACTAGGGCTGTGTATTGGCAAAAATTTGGTGATATGATACATTTCATAACACAGAGGTCACGATACAATATATTGGGATTATTGCGATACTGCAAGCAAGGTGATGTATTACGATATATTTCCATTTTGTCTCCAAAAATAAAACTATGTTTAATTTGTTTCATATTTCTTATTTAATCCATGGTTTCAATGGTTAGGCCAAATGTGCCATTAGATAGTTTAATATATTTCTGGCTGCTTTTTGATTTCGAATATTAATTTATTCTAAAATTATTGTTGCCCACACTAACAATAGCCTATATCTTGTGCTAAAGTTCAGTCATGGGGCCCCTTTCATTTAAGGGGGGAGCACGAGTACGACAGTCATTTCAATGCCATCAGTGTTTCAAACGATCATTGCATTTGGCCACTTCAGGACAGTGACCCAACCCCAGCTTTGAAGGCAGCGGGTGTCAGTTTAAACTGCTAAGATTCAGCCGTTGGTACTCAGTGCTAACATTTACTAACTATGCTAACATTTGAGCTAGCTACAGGTGGATGAGCCAAATGGCTGGATGACTGCTGCCAACAAGTGGCTGGATGCTAAAATAAAATGCAAAAACAAACTGCTGGCATGGAATTTTACATTTTTAGTTCTAATTAAATATTAATACAGTATACTAGAGAATTGATACAGTATTGGCAAATGAAATATTGCAGTATTTCAGCGTATCAATATTTTCTTAGACCCCTTGTATTTACAGTGTCCTTTAACTTTGGTTTAAGTCTACAAACATTTTTTCTGTGGGACTTGGTTATTTATTTATTTATTTATTTATTTATTTATTTATTTATTTATTTTTCAGAGGTAACATAATCATTATAAAATGGGTTGGAAAGCTGATCCTGATGAGAAAACCTACTTAGCTTCTCTCCCATTGTTAATCAGATCTCACCACCACTCTCCTCCTCAGTGACCAACACATACTGTATCTTCAGCACACCTGGATAGACAGGCATGCATCCTAGTCTCCTTTCACTCGTCGTCTCTGTGCTTTTTTTGTCCTTTTGTGTGCGTGATTTGCATTAACATGCATCCATTTGTGTCTCCACTCTGTGTGTGTGTGTGTGTGTGTCTGTCACTGCTCTTATCTTGTCTCTTGTAGCCCACCTGCTTTATCCAGATACAAAACAAAGACCTTGGCACTGTCACCCCTTACATATGATAATTCTTCTTCTTCACCCACACAACCTACCATGATCCTTTGCATTATCAGCCATGGCTTCTTGTGTACATCTGTGGAAACATAAGACCAAGTGAGACACCTCTGGGAGATTTTGTACAACTGAGAAGAAAGAAAAGTGGAAGCCTGGTCTGCTTTTAGAGGACTTAAGCAGATCTGGTATGGAGTCGCAGAGTGGGAAGGTTTATTTTAGGCATCGAGAGTGATGGAAGTCAAATACCGTTTCCATTTCTTACAAAGTGTTTGGTGACTAATGTTTTTTAACAGTTTGAAGTTTTGGTACTTTTAAGGAAAAAAGGCAAACTATTTCAACAAACTAACAACAAACAGATGTTAAAAACTAAGCTTTGCAGAAAGCGGATAGCTCCTATTAAATAATGATTTAATTATTGCACATTCTAGTTTTTTATTAAACTAATATCTTCCTCTGTGAAGGCAAAAATGGCAGAAGATGAAAAATGGAGCAAAATTACTGGCTGTGTGGCTCATTGGTCTGTGATGTTGTTACACCAGCCTGCATCCACAGCCTCTACGGTGCTGCTGTACTGGTCTGTGGTTGTCGTTAAGGCTCCAGTTTATACGGAAGTTAAAGGAGCTGAGATTCTGAAATTCCCTCACCATTTCCATCACCATCTTGTTAATGAGCTCAGAGATGTGCCACAGATCCAGGATACTGAGGTTATGCAGCAGAGTTCTCAATATTTTTGTTCGCAGGGAAGAATGTTTGCCCGTCTAGTTGGAATACTGAGCCAGAAATGTCGCAGTGGAGCCAAGTTCTCTTTTTTGGCAAAGAAAAGTAATAGTAGTTAGTCTCTGCAGGTCAACTTTAAGCTGTGCTAGGCTACTGGCAATTTTATCCAATTTGCATCTTCCATCACCTCTTACTGTGTGCTTAATCTTCAGTTATGATAGTGTGTTCACTATTTAAAATGCAGTTAATACAAATTTGACATGATTAAGAAAAAATACAGATACACAGAATAAAGAATCTAAGTATTTTTTTTTTTTTGGATTCTGAGTTTTTAGGATTGTATTAAAGGTTTTGGATGTGTGAAGATAAAGTGTTAAATTGCTAACGGTACTGGCCCTAATAAATAAAAAAAAGGGACAGCGACAGCCCATCATCCAGACTGGTGTGATTGCGTTGTGTCGTTTTATAAGACGGATTGAGCCACTCAGATTGTGCGTTTTATTGTTTTGTCCATCTGTATTTACCCATCTGTCAGCTCATGAGATTATTGTTGTCATTCCATTTTCAGTGTCGTATTCTCTTATTTGATCACCTCCTTCATAGCTCTCGTGGTCAGCATGAATTTCCATTCTTCTCACTCTTCTATTATATATAT